AAATGTTCTTGTAGTAGCTTTCTCAAGACGTCTTCTTAGTATATCACCACTCGAGTTTCCTTTGATCGGGAGTTGCAAGAATAGTTCTTTCTTTTTGACCGTGCTTGGTTTAGGCATTGTTGGCTTTTCTGTGAGATTCTTCTCGATGCACCGCTCCGGGTATCCGTTATTGAGGAGTGAGGTTTTGGTGACATTGTATAGCACTCCATTTATGGAGGAACGTAAATGGGTGAGATATCAGATAGCTAAACAAAACGAATGTACTGTATCTCTACCGTAACAGCGTTTATGAACAAACACGGGAAAGGGATGCAGCTTTCGTCCAACGCACGTGGTCAGTACAATGTGACGTACCATCTGACCAAAAGCGAGCAATTCTAGTGAGACTTCTCAGTTTGTACAAAACGGTCAAGCTTTTTGTCGAATTATTTGGTGTTCGGTGGGGTTGAGATCAGGTTTCGGCTTCAAAGATAAGGAAGAGTTCTTTGTTGCCTCATATCGTGAACGAACAGCCGGTCCTAGCTTGCTCAAAATGATGTGGGAAGGGCGAATGAAACGGCCGCGTCAGCAGTGAAACGTTGAGCATTTTTGAAGTAAAGTTCGACTGCAAGCGTGTTTAAACTATTTGGGAAGTTAGGCTTACCGGATTTTGGAAAAATGTCATGAGAAATGAATACTTTGAAGAACAGTGGTATTGAAGTTAGAAAGAGTTGTGGAAATGTCCAAAGTGAAATAGGAATCATTCCAATGATAGAAATCTAGAAAGCCGCGGGAATCGTCCCAGTTGGCTGAATCCTAGCGAACCAAAGCGTAAACACCCTATGAGATTTGCTAAGCGAATTCTTACTAAGATTTTTCCCATAATAAAAAATGGAATTTGAACATGTGTCTTGAGGTGAGTGCAGTTTAGGGGGATTAAATGTGCCAGCGCCATATTGGTTTTGAAATAGGCAAGTAAGGTTAACTAGCTGGCTCCGCTTTGTGACCACAGCGAAAGGTTTGGCTTTGCGCCCAAAGTCCGAACACTCAGAAGAGCCTGTTGAACACTCTTTATTACGAAGGTTGAAATCGCCTTAGATGGTAAAACTACAGCTGGAGTTTGGTTCAAGCAAGCGTTCAATGTAAGAAGATAATGAACGAAAGCTGGTCAGCTCGCCAAAATCGAGTAAGTGATAAAGTGCATAAAAATTATTGAATGAAGGTTAATCGAGAACCAGTCGCATCAGTTAAACTTCACTATGAAATGTGAGGAATTTGTTTATTATGGAGGTGATTTGTAGATAAGTGCGCAGACACACCATTTCTGTAAAGAAGAGCGGAACGTGTAATTGGCACATTGAAGGTGAATGGTTCCCGACATTGAGGGGATTTGGATTTCGGAAAAGATTAGGAGAGGAGAGTACGAGAGAATAAATCGGTGCATAAAACTAATGTTACTGTTCAATCAATGAATACTAATCACTGTTGTGAATTCGCGGTTACTTTGCGAGTAAGTAGAGCGAGATAGAGACCCTGTGTGATTGTGTGCTGTCAGGATTCGAATGCGAGGATCCCGAGAGTTCGACTGGCGAACCGGTGTATTACTGAACCGGTAAAAAGTAGAGCCGTTTACATGCCACAGATGAAGCAGGAATGCTTGAAGATGTAATCATGATCAATATTGAGAAGCACCCACGTCAGGATGTCACCGCAAAAAGGCATCTATCAAAAGGAAACACGAAACGGGCAGAACGCAATTATATACTGTTCCCATCTGCATCTCTAAGAAACCTTGAATACTGTTTCATTTTCACTGCTTGCTTAGTAGATATATTGGGAAACAAACTGAAACTAACTCACCAGGCCGAGAAAGAAAACGGTCAACCTGAGAAAAATTGTTGATAAACTGTTGCAGTCATTTTCACCTCCGGTAAAGTTAGCATGCATTCACCAGAAATAATTTCTTTTGAAAATTTAATTCACTGACGAAACATAAACACCAGTAACAGAGATAAAGTGAATACTTGTGTTTTGGCAACAACCAATCAGTAGTTCGGTGTCAATTACCACAACCACCACTGATCCCTTCTCACAACTCTAGGGTGCATTTTGCTCCCATCCCACAAAGTTATAAGTCCTCCTGAAATGTTTTCAACTCCTCTCATTTGCCATGGAAGAACACCTATACCTTTAGCAAATAGCTCATTTATCTCTATTGTTTTATCACATATCCCTGTTACCCCTGCATTCAGATTTACACAGAAAGACAAAATAGGTTAAGAAATAGTTTTTACTCCATAACAATATCAATATAAAATGTAAGTGTCTTACTGCTGCTAAATTCTAACTAGGTCGACTTGAGTTGTTCAAACGAAGTCTGCGATTCCAGTTCCATACGGAGTAATACACATATTTTCAATTCGGATTGAACTCGTCATTTCCTCTTGTTGTGAATCCAGTAGATCATATTCTCGCATTTTTTTCTCACGTCTTCGAATAGCCCAATAGAATGAGCACGTTTCTGCATCGTCCAGAAAACGCGTTGATGTGCGCTCGGACCACTCTTCGAACTGGGGGTATGGTTAGCATCATGATTGAGGCATTCACGGCACAACTCATTGTGGAAATACAACAACTGACCAGTTGCACATCAGTCCCCCAAGTATAGGAGAATGAGATCACATTACTCAGTAGATAAATTGACGTGTCATACGAATGCGCGATTATCATACAGGCGATCAAGGTGAGCATCCCGTTGGTCATTGCTGGAATTAAAGGATCAATATACATAGGAGCATCTTTCGAGTCCGTTTGACCCGTTTGGAAACCTTCTTCCAAGTTAGCATCTTGCCACATTTCAGCCGAGCCGTCCAGAGGACCGTTATCTGTATAGATGACATCTTCCAAGGGTAAAACACACACGACACGAAAATGGGCGGTGATCATGATAGCTGTAGGTAACATGTAATACGTGAGGAGCCAGTAGATTTGATGAAACTGACCAAAATAATAGGCGACGGGAAATTCAGCAATGGCGGAGGTGTAACATGTCATATTCTGGAATTCCACCACCATGACTTGAGGTGCATTCACAGCTAATCCGAATAGCACTGTCCCGACGGAACACCAAATCATATATTTCCGGTGGTATCGTTGATATGTTTTGTAGTAAACTGTGGCCCATAGACGATCCAGTGTCAACCAGGTCATATTGCACGTGGACATGCCAAACAAAACCCAGATTGGAATTTGTGTACGCCAAAAATGACATTGCAACCAGCCAGATATAAAGTTTGAGTAGGGCAAACTGCGAATCCATAGAAACACAATGCCCCAAAAGCATGCGAATCCATCTACTCCGATTTGAAATCGCAGAAACCAACTGGTTAGGCGGCTTCGAAAGTAGATTTTGTGCAGTACAATGGATAAGTAGATACTACTGATAAAACCGTAGAGTAAAGGTATACTAAATCCCACATTCACAGAGTAGTTTATCACACCATTAGTACCAACCGATAAAGGATACATTTCTCTGGTAATAAACTGCACACACAAAATTACACATGAAGTTGATGCTTTTATCAAACGGTACACATTATGTACATTTATACCTCTAGGAATTTAACTGGTTCTCATTGGATGAAAGATTATCGCCCAACCGCAGTGAGTCCATACACGTAAGTACCAGTGGATTTTGTATTACTTAAATTACTTAAATTGAGCTAAAATACACTCATTCCACTGGGTCAAACTTTAAGCCAATCCACTATGAGTTAACTCACCTATGATCCACCCAAAAGGCTGAATCCAACAAGACAGAGATTAAATACTACTTAAGTGTATATAATCAGTTGATTGTATAAATTCCCCGATTCGTGAGTAAACAACTCATCAGTATTTGTTTTCAGTTGATAAAATTACCACTGTGAAGTGGGTGCGTGCAAATGACACCAGGAATTACTCAGAAATACACTTACCCATGTCTGAATTGATAGAAATTAGAGAATGAGAATTTAGCAAAGATCGATTGAAGAAATAACTCAATGAGTTTAGGACTGAAATCTTATTTAAGGAAAAATCTGTATCACGGTTGACGAGACTCTGAACATTCCTGAGGCTTATGAGATAGTCAAAAAATTACTACTGATTTGCTGCCTGAAGTAAAAAAACCCAACCGTCTTGTAATAACTATTTCTTGCATTCGGAAAAATGCATATAGTTCTTGTATACAAAATACAGATATTAGTGCATCAAACAATAGATCATTATATAATTTAAGCAATTTTATAATCCCAGATAGACATCGGTCTCAGTTAAGATTGCTTGGATTTGAAGAAATTAAGTCACTTTTCAATTTTGATTGCTGTTTTTGAACAAGCCTAATTACTGTTACTTAACGATTTGTTTTCAAGTAGGATCACGGAAATCACCATGATAAATCAACCACCTAGATAGACGACGACATTTTGTTAAGGAAATTACCGGTGTGCTCAACGTATTCCGAGCAATCTTTAGCCTTAAATGGGCACGCTGGGTGGTGTTTATCAACAGAGAAGCCAAACCAAAGCAAACTGAACAGGAGAGGAGACCGAACAGTAGGATGTCGGTCACGAGTACAGGTGCAATGACACAGTCCGATTAGCAGTCACCAAACCAAGGATTGGGCTTTCTAATTCAAAATTCAAATGATGCCAGAGCTACTTTTAAAATCTTGACATTGTTGAAACGACCATTAGGTCTTTTGCTCTATTTGAACACTGAACCACTATATAGTGAATTGTATTTCACCTTTTCGCGAGCTTGGCAATTTGTTTGCAAACGTTTCATCACCAGCCAAGGTGACATCATAAGTGCTTGTGAAAGGTCACTTCACAGATGCAATGAAATTGTAATGCTTTTTTCATTTCTCGGCAATATTTCATTGCTCACTAATATTTTCACCAACCTTTGCCAGTGTGCAGCTTACTAATGTTATGCTTCACACTGTTATTTTACCTACAGTTCAATTGCTTTCTCTCATATCTTTGGTATCTAAGCATGTTTCTTCGTTTCGTTTTGACTGCGCTCATTATGCAAAATTTTACTTGCTGTACTTTAGGCAATCTCTGAATGTAAGTCTAAAATGTGACATATTCAGCTGCTCTGACAAACCTTTTTAGTGACTTCAAATTTGGGGCCACCAGGAATGTTTTTGTATCATATTCTGGTAACAAGTGCTTATCATGCATTGAAACACCTCCAAAAATTGTGAATCACTATTTGCACTGAACAGCCGCCAGACTACAACTTTACGTACAGTTATCCGCTCATCCAGTAAACCATGCGCACACGCAACACTGAACTCGTGCTTCGCTCTTCTTAACTTTATACCAGTGGCAATTACGAGACTTCAGTCCAGTACTTCCTGAGCATGTGGTTAATTGGACCAATTGAGAATTTTGTGCGAACGTACTCTCTGAAGAAGGATGGATTCAAATCCACATAATCTAATCCCACCTTTGTTCATAATTAACCGTGAGTTCAATGTACCTTAAGCGTAATCAGATGGATCGCCAAACCAATATGGGACGTTTGTGTTACCAATCGGTATAATCTCACCTGGTATCACCATGTCACACTTCGCGAAAAACGTGAGAAGGCCTACATATTATGAGTAGCGCTTCAGGTCAGTTTACTCATCCACGTATCTCACAAGGCGTTTTGTTCTGGCCTACATTCCTCCTCATTTAACTTATGGAGTTTAATTCTTAGTTTTGGTTGGTTTATTAAGTTTTTTAATGTTTGCACATCCGAAAACTTGCTTTTGCCATTTCTATTTCTCATGAACATTTGGAACGTCATCAAAACACATTAAGGTACAGTGAAACCATGCAAATGAAAAGATCGTTTTGGGGAGCTGAAATCAATAACATTGATCTTTGACTATTCCCAACGAAATGTGTCCTATAAATTGGATGAGAATATAAAACAGGACAAGGGAGGAGGTTGTAATGAACATGTTGTTCTGGGGGCCTTGGGGGGGGGGGGGGTAAGTGAAAACTAGTGAACCGTGATCCGGGTTTTTTAGTCTGGTTGAGATTTATCTTCATGCATTCATAATGTGAGAGGATAAAATAACCTGAATTTATCAGGCTTGGTTTTCGTTTACTTAGTCGGTAATAAACAGATAATCGGGATAAGTAGTATAAGTCACTGAAGCTGCACTGGATATAATTAATGTATACATTGCTTGAAGCCAAACTTTTGCACAGGGCCCAGTTTTATCCCAATTTAAATACGGGTGTGCGCACATTTTAACAACCAGAGCCCAATGTTGATTTATTTAATGGGATGCTCTTCCAGTATCTTCTTGTTCCAAGAAGACATTCGGAGCTATTACAAATAAGTAAGGGTATTCAAAGGATCCCGTAAAACGGCTTTTATAAAAATTATGCAAGATATGAAGGAATTGTTACCATAAAAGGGATAGGATGCAAAAGCAGATGAATTCGAATGCTGAAGCGCTGTGAGGATGAAATGGTTAATTATAGTACAGAGCTAGTGATCACGACTTAAAGTAAAATGCCTGTGTTTGGTGTGATGGAAATCTTTAGATACCGTTTAAAAGAGCACTATTTCAAGCGTCCCAGGAGTGAACAGTATTCAACATAAAGTAACTGATTTCAGTAAGCGCATACACAAATGTGCATCAAACCACAGAATAAGACACAACCTTCTGAAATATGAAGTTGAATAGAACACAGATTGAGCATAATAAAATCCACTCACATCACTGTGTTATTTTTCTGAGGAGTTGACGACAACTTTGAATAATCTATCCAATAGATTTCAATACACAACCGCTGAATCTCACAAATGAAAAAAACGAAAGCTGTTTTAGAGTATTGGTAAATAATAATCAACTGAGTAACAAGTCAGCTAATGACATTACTGGTCGGAAGATGCAATTGTTGATTGATTAATTGATTGTATTACTGCGATGATGATGATGGTGGTGGTGGTGGTGCACCATATTCAAAGTCATAGTATTGACCATAACCATATATACACTAATGTGAGATAAAGGCTATTTGCGCAGTCTCGACCTCCAGCCTACCTTCTAAGAACTACGGATTTATTCATTTCAATAGTTTCATGATTTTGCCGAAATATTTTAAAAGTGACGTAGTCATATGGCCGCAGCACAGGTTTTGGCAGCTAAGATAACGATGACAATTAAGTATAAAACCAAGTCGTACAGTCGCGTTGGATAAATACAAACATAGTTCTCTCACGCAATTCGACTTCGAGATAATAGAGATTTTACAACGTAATAAGGAGCAGCATGACCTAACTCTGATTAGATCGCATGAAATTTATTCCAAAATGAAACGTGCCTTTTGCTACTAAGCCCATGTCCCTATTTCGGAATTCCTACCTCACATGGTTATTTGTCCGCCAGCGCTAAGTGCTTAACTGTTATCCTTAAAAACACATCATGAAAATCAAGCTGGTAGCCAAAAATTGGGTTTGTAAATTGGAAAATTTGGACTGGGATCATCGCCACGGAAACAGATGTCATGCATCCAATGTGCAGCTTAGCAACCACTCGTATTTACCTTGGAAATATAGAAAATCGTGTGTTATTTCTTGAATCAAATGTGCTAATGAAGCGCGAATAACTTTCGAAGATACGTCACGCGTGTGCGAAATGAAGTAGTGATAAACGAGATTAGTAGTTTTACGGTGATCATTGCTCAACCGGTCCAACGTAAATCGACCACGTACTATAATGAATCTCACAAAAACGTTCTTGAAGAGTAAATACCAATTGATCTGCGTTATGACTCAGAAATGGGCCATAGAATACTTAAAATGGAGCGAAATGTTTAAGTTTTGAAAAGTTCATTAGGCAGGTCAACCTTTTATGAATTTGCATGACATTTTAAAAAGAGAATACTGAAATTCGTAAGCAATTGTATCGAATTGATGCCATACAGCTTTAGATTGACATGTTTGATCTTAGGTGCACCCTTGATTCACCCACTGCAGAGGTCCATAACACCACCGGATTGTTGAAAATCAGAAAACGTGTGTTTATTTCATCCCACTGTCCGACACATCTCGCCTCAGATGTGATTCGTTGGCCAAAAGGAGATTTAAATGAGACGTTTGGGGATAGACTGAATGAATTTAGTGACGTTTGGGCTATTTATCAAATAGAGATGTATGCCTACGTATCAGTTATTTAAACACTATGTGGGTTTCCATCAGATTGCCAAAAGTACTTGGATAGACGGTTGCGTACGTAAGTTGTATGGAAATTCGTACCGATAATTTTTCACTGAAACACTAGCGGATATGTGTTACAGGCAATACCCATTTCCCTGAATGGAACCTGTTTGTCATGGTACTTTCCCAATCGAACATACAGACGAATGTGAATTGCTGCAATTTGATCACGAATCTAGTTTTAGCTGGTAAATATTTTCAAATCTCAAAATGGTCTAACACACCACAGCAATACAAATTATGACTCAAAACACGCT